TTCCATGTGCCAAGTTAGCCTTGTGGTAATTAATTTATCTAACACCTTACCCAAAATGGGAAGGAGCGAAATTGGCCTGCAAGTGGACGAGCCAGGTTTGGGAATAGGAACCAGCTTGGCTATCTTCCAGGCTTCTGGGAAGATGCCATGCTGCAGGCAGGTGTTGTAGATATGCAACAGTTGAGTAGGGAACAAGTCCCAGAGCTTTTTCACAAGTTTTGCTGAGATGCCATCAATGCCAGGCGTTTTAGTAGCTGGAAGCTCACTGATTATCTTATCCACCTCATGCTGATCGAAAGGAGGGGTGTTTGGATTGTTTATGTTATGGTAGTCTGCTTTCCTGATATCTTGTTGCCATGTGTCATCATCCACAGGGTTGTCATCGAGGCAGAAGGTGTTTATTTTTTTCTTCACGATGTCTGATAAATTATCATTGTTACTTGTTTCAAGGATGTGACTTCTTTTTAGCTTGCCTGTGCAGAGCGTTGTTATGTAGCCCCAGGGGTTGCTGGAGGCTTTTGTACAGTAGCTCCTCCAAGAGATGATCTTTGCATTTTTTATTTCTTGCTTATAAATCTTCTGATTCTGTAGGTATTGTTCTTTGAGGTGGCTGTGTTCTGGTTCACTTCTACAATTTTGATATTTCTTTTGGAGGTGTCTAACACACTTTTGCACATATTGGAGAGCTTTGCATCCCACCAGGGAACAGCCATGTGACGGCGAGAGGTACGAGGAATGAATAGATTGCAGGCGGTGTTAATGTTTTCAATAGAGCTGTCAAGAAAGTTACTGGCGTCATCAAAATCACTGGGGTTGTAAGTGGTGAGTTTTGTCCGAAGGAAGCTGGTGAGGCTATCCCAATCAGCATGTGATAAATTATAACGTAGTGAAAGGTCGGTGTTACCAGTGGCAGTTGCATTATTTATCGTAAAGTGGAGGTAGGCATGTTCGCTGAGTGAATCCTCCTGGAGGACCCTCCAGCTTGTGACGAGATTAGAGCACTGAGATGAGGCAGCAGTAATGTCAATCCAGCTGTGGCCCCTAGAACTGTAGAATGTTGGTGGGGAATGTGGATCATTTATGAGAATTAAGTTATTGGTGGCGAGAAAATCACCTAAGGCAGTCCCTCTGTCGTCCAGATGCTCGCCCCCCAGGCAGGGGAGTGTGAATTGAAATCACCAACAAGGAGAAGGTTGTTGTACTGAAGGTTGTTGATGGTGTCTTGGAGATGGTGCAAGAAGCTGTTAATATTGTTATTATAGGGACAATAGACGTTAATGATAATGAAGGTGCTGTTATTTATAGTTGTCTCAATGCACACAATGTGCTCATTGCTGTGCTGGCTGTGAAGAAGAATTGGAAAGTTTTTGTTGTTTATGACAGAGATAGCCCAGGGGTAGTTCGTTGTTCCTTTTATGACAGTAGTAAAAGTGGGAAGACATGCAGGGACATTTCTTTGACAATATGGCTCCTGAATGAAAATAGTCGTATTTGTTGATGTTGGCAGTTAAGAGAGAAGTGGCATTAATGCCTCTGCCCAAGTTGATCTGGAGAAAACTTATTTGTTGTTGACTATTCCGAGCCATAATCGGTTCTGGAGATAATGTTTAGCTTGGTTCTCTGATAGACTGGGCAGGAGCTGTCTCTAGCATTGTGATCGGTGTTGGCGAGTTTCTCGTGAAGGCAGTTGCAACATTCTGGTTTCTTTTCTCTGTTAGGGCAATCTTTAAATGAATGTTCCTGGTGGCAGTGGCTACAAGTATTTTTAGTATGGGCACAGTTTTTTGTTGAATGTCCGTAAGCGCAGCAACGGAAGCACTGCTGGACTGGGCAGAAGTCACCCACCCTGCAGCGAGACCATTCGATATTGATTTTTCCGATCATTAGCAGGTACTGTCGTAATTTAGGTGTGACTTCTAAAACATGATTTTTAAATTTGGTTTCTTTTTTCCCAGTGGTAAATTTTATTCGAAGTTGTTGACCAAATTCCTCTTCAGAGAATGTTTCACGGATGAGGTCGTTCTGATCGTACATGCATTTTATAATGCACTCATTTGACTCATGGTTGGGGACAGAGTATAAAATAATGTGAGGCTTCCTTTTCTTAGGGAGCCTAGTACTGACTTCAGGAAGTTTTTCCTTGATGCTAATTTCAAGGTTGGCAATATCTTCTTGTTTTTCGAGGTCAATTGCAACACCTCCACCAGCGATCTTTCTAATACGATCGACACCAATTTTCAAGGCTGAAGGCTGGATTTCCATTTGCAGCAGTTTCTGAAGTTTTTCACTAGTGCTGTTTTCATCCTTGCTGTAAACCAGCAGGACATTATTGGAAGCTGCACGTGTTGCTTGTTTTGCTTTATAGGGCATGTTGACATTAATACCTGATTTTAGCACTGCTATATAATGGCTGGGTAAAAGCATTTGTCTTTGCTGTCCCCTGGTGTTTAGCTTTTCTAGGATATTATCCTGTTTTTCCAAAATTTTGCTGTCCTTCTTGTCTTCCATTAATTGGTCTAGCTTGGCAGAAATTTCTTCTAGTTTTTGTATACCAGTGTGGTTGATGAAAATGTCTATTATACGTTCAACGCTTCTTATGATATATTTAGGATGTTGCTGTTTGCCAATTTTGGCATCTTTATTATTAACCAGATAAGCCTTGAGTTCATCTAAGACCTCAAAAGCAGCCATCTGCTGGTCGGTAGTATTTAAAGAATTGTCCTCAGACATGGTTGCAGATAAGACACAGTGTGGGTCAGTTCCCACACCAACATCAGATGCGCGAGGAAAATGGAAGAGCCCGGCCAACACACTAGTTTACGACCGACACCAAAAATTGTCAACTATGTGTAAACTGAAGTACTGAACAGAAACAAAAGAGCAGGGGTACTCACTGCGAATATTTTACTTTGTAATCCAAAGGAAAATGATCTGTGGAAGGTCTCTGTGATGAGCCGCCGGAGAGAAGTTGCACTTTCCCTCGGTGAAGACTCCAGAAGTTGAGGCACACAAGTGAAGTCTTAGCCATCTGTCTATAAGGCTGAGGTCTCTGTTGTGAAACGGCCAAGCTAACTTGGCCGGTGGAAAAACTGGACAAGGAGGCTTGATCTGTGTGGTGTGCAACAGGTGAGGGCTATGGCACCAGCTATCATTGGCATCCAAACAGATGGGAAGGACTGGTCTGCTTGGTTAGCAGGTCCCCCACACAACCAAAAGCAGATGAGGGTGTCACACCAACACAACTAAATATGCAATACACAAGGCGATGACACAATACAATATTCATCAGTTTTCCAATGAGCATGTAAATACAAATGCCTGTAAGATGGAAACCAATATTCAAAATGGCCGATGCCATTATCTTGGAGCACGTTCCAAAACCAGGAAGACAAGATGGATGGCACAAAACTTCCAGGCAAAACTAAATAACTTTAGGTAAAAAGTTAGGCTTAGCGCTGCTAAGCCAGCCTAAAACTGGCATTAGGACTAGAATAAGCCTAATGCCCTATGCTATAACACAGGAGCAAGCCAAATAGGCCTAATATTAGGCTTAACCCAGCTAAACTTTGCAAAAACAGACCCTGGAGCAGAGGAAATACACAACTTACCTGGTTGAAGAACAAACTAAAACTGAACAGTGCAGCAAACTGCGGCCGCAATTTCTGATGTTATTTTTCTGCGAAAACTTCGTTGAACTTTGGAGACATCATTAATATAAATAATTTTAATTGCCGTTGAATAAGAAATGTTTCTTTCACAAGAAATATATAAAATTACAGTGCTGTATTAGACTTACGGTACCTAATTTACATACTGTACAGACGATAGCTCACCTAAACAGTCCGTAGCATGGCGCTAGATGGCGGAAAGTATATATATAATTATAATAAGGGCTTGTCAGAAGGGCTTTATTTACTGTCATCTACGCAGGAGCTGATAAACATTGAGTTAGATATCATCAATTTGGCGGTACGCGCTACTGGCTTTTCACGTGCAAAATTTATGCATGTGCTCAATAAGGTAAAGAAAGCACTATTTCCAAGCACTACATTATGAGCAAGAGAGAATCTTCGAAGGTACAAGTAGCGTTGCCTTACCTTGGACCCCTATCTTTAAGCAGCACAATCTTGTACTACCTTTAACCCCACTTCCAAGCCTACGCAAACTTATTTGTAACAATAGAGACAAATTTTCCATTCTTGAGAAATCCGGGGTCTATGCTGTACCTTTGGAAAATCAGGCAATGGGAGTAAACACAAGGTATATCGGGGCCACCACTAGAATGCTTTCCAGCTGCCTTGATGAGCACCAAGACAATGTTATGAGGGGAAGACACACCACCGAGCTCACAAGAAAGGTACTTGAGCAGGGTTACAACCTGCTATGGTCCCAAGCGGTTATGCTCAAGAGCTGCAAGGATCGAAAAACTGTTTTTATATGGGAATCTCTCCTCACTACCACCTTGGACACTTGCAACACCCCTACGCTCAAGCTGCCCAGTGTATGGGTCATGCTGTATAAGCGTTTAAGCGAGTATTAGCAGTCTTTAGTATGCATGTAACGTGAGCATGGCTCTGCGCATGCTCCAGCTCGCACTTCACGGAGCTAACTGCTTGTTCGGTTTTCGAATTATGTTTAAATATTTACTTTGTGTTTTTAACGGCTTTAACATAGTTTCAACTTATCTTATGCATTCTATTCTGCATTCAATTATTTTTGTTTAAAAAATTTTTCAGTAAATATCTGTATTCGCCTGAGGACGATGACTATAAGTTCGTTGAAAGTGCTTGCGATAAAAAACGTATGCATGTAACGCTGAACTCAGTGTCTTTGTTTTTGTTATTATAAACACTTTATTTGGTACATGTCTTAAAATATACTATTATAGACAGTTAATTGAAATTTTATGAGTGTACATTGATTAAATACTAATTTTTTTCCAATGTATTATGTTAGTTTGTGATGTATTACTGCATGTTAAAGTCATGAATTGTTTTCAGAAGCGATCTTCGCCAAGAAGCCATTCGCCGAAGGCACACTTCCGGGAACCGTCAGCTGTCCACGTTGATAGACGGTCCCGATCCGCTAGACTTGTTGCTGTTGATGGGTTTCGAAAAACCTGCCGACGGGAAAGTATGTCTAAAATATGCATGATTAATGCGCTAGCAGATTTTCCTTTCTCATTTGTAAACTTTTGCCTAGGATATCTCCTATAGTAAATTTTTATCTCCATCTGGGATGCACTGGACGCTACAGAGAAAATGTAAGTCCCAAGAAGCCGAACACGTGACTAACTCCCATGGTTTTACTCGCTGTTTATCCTATGACCCATCTGTGTCTAAATCATTAATGACTAATATTGTGGAAGCAAGTACAGAGATCAGTAAGTTTAATGTTAAAATTCCAATTTTTATGACAATAATTTTAAATATAAAAATTTGACGTTCAGGTTTAGAGATGGAAGATATTCCTCCTAGTCATCCCATTAAATATCTTGTATATCATCCAAACCTATTAGATGATCCTGAATTGATTGCGGGAAAGCACAGCACTCAGTTATCATTTCCTTCTTACATTGTAAGTAGTTTTAGATATTTCCTATTGTGTTGCTATTTTTAAATGTATCACAAGTAATTCAGATATTATATAATTCTCCTTAGACATCTATTATAGGTTATGTAAAGCCATCTGACCTCAAAAGAGAACTGAATGAAAAATTCAAAGAACGTTTTCCCCCCATACAATTAACTCTCAGCAAACTTAGAAGGTACTTGGTTGACTTTTATTTTATTTCATTATTGCAATTTATAATAATGTAAATTTATCGTCTTTTACAGTTTGAAAAAAGAAATGTGTAAAATTGCTCAAGAGGTATGTTAGAATTTTATATTCTAAATAAAAAATAAATACCTTAATTTCAAGATACAAAATAATTTTTTCAGTGTGGAATTGATCTTCTAACTGTAGCTCAAGCTCATGTTTATTTTGAAAAACTTGTGTTAAAAGTAAGTTTAGTGTTTTTAATTAATTATTATTATTATTATTACTTTTTAACCAATTCTTTTCTATTAACAGTTACTTATCAATAAGCAGAATCGAAAATTATGTGCAGCGATGTGTCTGTTTCTTTCTGCCAAGCTGAATGACGTAAAAGGAGGAGAATTGAAAAATCTTCTCGAGGTAAACATCATCTAAATTTTGTAACATCATGTAAAAATCAGTTCAAACTCACTAAAGGCTTATATTTTAGAAAATGGAAAATGGCTTTCGTCTCAATCGCAAAGATTTGCTGAATTGTGAATTCGGAGTTTTGGTTGCACTAGAATTTTCCCTCCTCCTGCCGACGTGGGAAGTGTATCCACACTATCAACGACTTTTGTACGAATCATAGCATTTTGAGTTCCAACATTCGCATTTGCAGCTGTGTTATGTTAAATTTATATTGTAAATACAAAAGTTTATATTATTATTATGTACAGTACATCGAACCTTGTTAGTTAGTTATCAAAGAATTTGATATTTATTGTACATAAGTAGACTTAAATACACATAGTATCACGGGTATTTTTTAAAACCTTTATCGAAATCATTTCATTTGTAACAATCACTCTCTTCTGATCCAAACTTTCTCAAATTTAAATGAAGGTTTTCAATTAGCTCTAGTACGTTTTTAGTAAATCAGAATTTTCGAGATGCTCAAAATTAATTACTTGATAAAAATCTAGTTATCAGATTTTCATTCAATATTGAAATTATGAACATAGATTAGTCATCATGCACCTATTTTCCTATAATGATATTTTTAACAAAGTGTAAATATCGTAACTATTTTCCATTTATTTGTAGATTGTATATTTTTGAGGCTGTGATTGAACTTAAAAAGGGAACATTTTTAATTTCTAGTCATCTTGCTTCTTCCTTACAGCTATAGGATTTTCCAAAGTTTTTTCTCTAATCTCTCACTCTTTCTTGATTATATTAAAATTGAAACTATACAAATACTCTACATAATTTTTTTAATATTTACATGGATCAATTTTTCTCTTAGTAATTTAGTCAGAAATATTCTAGTTTTGTAGGTTGAGAAGTAAGAATAATACAATAGAAAAATATTTTGATGATAACTATCAAAATAAAACCATTTCTAAGTATATAATACATGTATAGACGAAAATTATAAATCAATACAAAAGCGACTTTGAGAATCGAGAGTTTTTACGTACGAACAAAGAGAATTTCAAATGGAGGCTTTTGTTTTGATTTTGTTTTCAATTATTTTTACAATTGTGTACATATTGAGAAAATTCAAATTTTATTTTGAACTGGAGAAACATGCATTGTGAACCAAAAGCAATATATTTATATCAGATTAGCCCCTCCTTTAGAAAAGGAATTGATTATGCAATTTTTGATCTTAAATATGGTACCTTGATAAAAACAATTATATACATATATTTTTAAGTTTTTATTCTGAGGAAGAATAATGTGTTCACATAAATTAGTATGTGCATATACAATGTATTTAAATATTCTCGGCAGCTGTATTTACTTAAAATGATTTATGTGTAATTTCTTATTACCATTTATGTGTGTTTTGTTTTATTTCGAAAGTTGCGATTAGAGTAAATCTAGTGTTTGTAAAGTACTTTAAAAAATAAAATACGTAATTTTATTGAGGTTTGTTGATATTTTGAAGTTTTAAAACATTTAAGTCAATGAATTGAGAACTATATATATTGATATATATATTATTTACTACATAAATAGGGAACTAGATGAGTCACAATTTAGTTTCCTTAGAGGCATTACAATGGATGATAACTTATAAGAGAAAGGATGATTGATCACAATAGTTATTTGTATGTTTTGTCGACTTCGAGAAAGCCTTTGATAGTGCTAATCAAACATTGTTGTTTGAGATTCTGCAAAAAAAAGAGGTATTGATAAAAAATTACTGAGAATAATATACTACATCTATAAAAGTCAAAAAGCAATGGTCAGATTTCAAGGAGAGGATACCAAATGGATTCAGATTAAAAAAGGAATAGGACATGAATGTGGTTTGTCCCCAACACTCTTTAACATCTACAATGAATGGATGACGAGAATGGATGGTGTCTTGTTTAAGGAATGGTGGAGGGCAGAAGGAGAAAGGGAAGACCTAGGCTAATGTGGCAGGACATCATCAAAAAATGGATGGCTCAAGCTTGGGAAAAGCCTACAACTATTCTTCTCCACATGAAGATTGGAGAAGACAGTCCATCAACTGCAACCCCTATGTAAAGAGGACATCATATGAATGAATGAATGAATGAAAATAATTTTTTTGCTGAATTAAATTAAAAATTAGAAAATAATTATAAAATTTTTCATACATTGTAAGCTTTTGGTAATTGAATATATAACGAAGCAATAATTGCTGGGTCGCTTATTTACAGTTGCACATACAATCTCTTAATTTCAAAGATGATAAATATTTTAATGTAATAGTGTAAGAACAAATTTTAAAATGAGATAGAACTGTTTTTAATTTCAAAATACTGTATAACTAAAACTAAACTAAAGTTAAAACTAAAAACAATTGAAAATAAAAAGATATTCTATGCCATTTCTAACAATTCTTATTTTTCAACTTTGCTAACGAAAACTCTCAAGTTGTTTGAATTCTCACTAATTATAATCTATCAATGGGAAATAACAAAAATGGAATCATTTTAACTCAATGCATTCCATACTTTCCTCCCACTTAACTAAAGTAAATATTTAATTTTCTTTTTCCTGTTCTCTCAACTAATTGACAAATAAGTTGCTGGTCTGATTATTGTTTGTAATTTATATACATTAACAATAAGAAAATATCTTGTCATCCGGTTTGAAAGATAAAGCACTGGAGAAAATATTTATGGAGGCTCAACTTTTTTTTAATTAAAATAATATAACTAGTCTTAGAATTTTTATATATTAGATAAAGTATAGATCCAGAAGAGAACTTCATTTTTAAACATTTTGAATTTCAGAAGGCTAACAAAGAATTTGACTTAGAAAATTTTAAAGAAATATTAGCCCCATTGTAATAACCTGATCTCTATAGTCATATGTTGTTAAAGTTAACTAAATTACAATATAAGTGTAGATCGGCAACTACTCGAGAAAAAAAACAAATACTAAAGTTTTAAACCGAAAGAATGTAGAGTATCGTATTGTTTAAATTTAATTGGTAAAAGTGGAGTCAGTCTTCCAGGAACAAATTAAATGATAACCATAATACGAGTTTTTTCATCTTTCCCATAGACTCAATGTCAAAATTCAGATAAATTACATTTTTTGACAGAATTAAAGTTAGTTAACCGATCATCCACTGTATTAATTAACACTTTCGCGAAAGATTTTTATGATCGGACATCGAACGCATCAGACATCTTGTGCCCACTTCTGCATTGGCTGTTATCTCTTACTTGGTTTCTACGGTGAGCGCAGTTCTTGACACTCCTCTTTTTAGGCTCCATAATATTATCGGTTTCTTTTTAAATAAATAGTTCAGAAAAGCACTTACAAAAATTCAGAGAACAGAAATCAAGTAGCCCACAAAAATTATTTAAATGCAAGGCCCGGATGAAATTTGAAATTGGTATTAAAACGTTAACGAATATCCGACGGGACAGTTAAGTAAACCCAGACGCAAAACTTAACAAGTGCCCGCTTTTTATGTTTGTTCAGTAAGGTGTTCGCCTTACTGAACAAACAAAAAGCGATGGAAAATAACGAATACCGATTGATTTTTCCCTTGTCTTCGGGTAACAATCCGAAACCATTCGGAGCGCGGGAGACGTCAACTTCGACGCTCAACCCGATACCGATCGGATAGTATTCCTCCGAATTTTGAAACTCTCCCTTGTAATTCTAGCTTTTTGTTTATTTTTCTGACAAATAATTTTTTTATAATTTCTTCGCGAGACTGTCTGACGGGCACTTGTTAAGTTTTGCGTCTGGGTTTACTTAACTGTCCCGTCGGATATTCGTTAACGTTTTAATACCAATTTCAAATTTCATCCGGGCCTTGCATTTAAATAATTTTTTGTGGGCTACTTGATTTCTGTTCTCTGAATTTTTGTAAGTGCTTTTCTGAACTATTTATTTTAAAATAAACTGATAATATTATGGAGCCTAAAAAGAGGAGTGTCAAGAACTGCGCTCACAGTAGAAACCAAGTAAGAGATAACAGCCAAGGCAGAAGTGAGCACACGATGTCTGATGTTGCTAGACAGTATGGCTTGAACATGTCTACAGTAGGCACAATCTGAGCTATGAAAGATATATCGAGAAGTCTCGAGCTGCTAATGGAGTAATGAAAATCACATCTGAAAAATATGTGATTTTCAGAGAGCTCATGATAAAACGAACCTGAAACTGATCTGACAACAGAAGAATTCCGAGAACTCTCAAATGAACAGCACCAAGAAACTTAGCGAGATGTGTATTCTTTTGAAACAGAGGAAGACGAAAGAGGACCATGTCGACGTCTGCTACTAAAGATCTTTTGAAGAATAAGGTTAATGGGGTTGGGGATATCTACAATTACAATACTATTAAAATAAGATGAATTATAAAAGATAATGTAAGGTGTTCCAACTATTAGAAAAAATTTAATATGTATAATAAATTAACAAGAACCATTACTGCGTTGCGTAGAAAAATGCTATAGTCTGTAATTCGTCACAAAACGTGTGAAAATGAAACGCACTCCTCTCCGGGAGGACCACACGCCCACTGTACAAGGATTGCGATTTGTTACTAATAAACACGATCTAACAATGAAATTGCTTTTCATTAAAATTAAATATGCAGTGAGATGCTAGAGACTTCATTTTAAACCTTTGATTTTCTCACTTAACAGGTGGTCGACTTTATAGAGTAAATCCGAACTAAAATTGTTCGGCGGTATGGCCGAACAGTTAAGGTGGCAGTCTACTGCTTAGGGCAGCGATTCCCAACCTGTGGTACGCGTACCCCTAGGGGTACGCGATAGGTTGTTTAGGGGTACAGAAAAAAGTTTGTTATTATGGCAGAAAAAATAATATATTATGTATCACAAACTAATAGTATTAAAAAATTATTAGATAAATAATGTTCCTTGCAACAATCACAACTTTATTATACATTTTTTCTTTTAGTTTTNTTATGATATGTTCCATCTTGATCTGTCAGGAGTCTTGATATTGTTGCATGATGAGTGCCTCCTGCTATGTGTTAGTGCTATGGTTTGCATTGTTAGTGTTTCAGTGTACTTATGACAATTGCTTTATTGAAAGTTATTAAGGACAATGATTTGTCTGGTTGTGATTTATTTCCTATCTCTGTTTTACTTTTATCATACAGAATATATTTTTCATTTGCCACACTGCAATGCATGGGAGGCCTTACAATGCTGTGTGGCAAAACCAACATCAGTCTATTTTACTATTTTATAAAGATTATAGCTTTTTGTTAAAATCTCACAAATCTCAAAGAACCATCTGGTTTCTTTTCTCGAGAAAGTTCATATCATATGGTCTGTATATTTGAGGTGGAGCATTAGCAAAGCCTCTTCTATATGACTTACAGAATTGTGTTCGTTCTCAAAATCTGTTTGATCAATTTTGATTAAACTTTGTGATTTTCCATTAATTGTGATGAGGAATAAAAAATTGGGTCCATGACTTCATTTACAAGATCTAAGATCATTTCACCAGTGTGTGCAACAAAGCATTATTACACGAATTACACGACTTTGTCGTGTGGCGTTTCATGGTCACTAGTACTTCTTCTGTGTGCTTATAGAATCAAACTCATTCAATTTAATGGGCTAATTTTGGTAAAACTTTATCATTTTCCATTAATTGAGACAAGGAATCCAGAAATGTAATGTGGGTCCATTTAAATGTAAATGTAAAAATCCAGCAACAAGTTGCTTAGCTTCTCCATCAACATTTAAAACTTTTGTGGTGCCATCTGATACAATATTTTATTTAAAAAACTTTATATTTTAATTATTATAAAATGACAAAAAGTATAATTTTGAGGGTAGGGATGTGTTTTATAAAAAATTGTAAATGCTAATAACGAGTAAAATTGTCATTAAGTGTGACTGTACTCAAGATACGATACGTGACCTCCTTTATCTCCCCATCCTCTTGACCTTTAAATTAATGATCAAAATTTAATAGCATCTCGCTCTCTAATACACAAACCTCCCTGCCAAATTTCAGAAATTTTTGACAAAAAAATGCAGGATTGTGTGTGTGGGGAGCAAATTGTGCTCCCTACACAAGTTAACATCCATACATATAGAAATTACTCCTGAATTTTTTGCCTTTCTTGACATTTTAAGATCTGAGTTCAAAAACGTAGAAATATTGGAGGGATAATTTTTTTGACTGCTATACTTTTAGTCAATATACAAAAGTATTAAAGTGACCAATGTTCGTTCTCTCTGATATGACTGTTGGCACCTAACTGAATTTAGGCCTAAGGATCAAAAGTAAACACAGCATTGCCTGTACTTAACAGAAAATAGGTGCAAAAAACAAACAAAGCGCAAGAACAAAGCAACTGATGGTGATGGCTTTGTTCTTGAATCACCTCTCCATGTCGACAAGTGCAAAGATGTTTCTTATTTTTGGAT